CCAAGCATCCCTGGAGCAAGCATTTAGAACTAGAACTATGAGTAGCTTTGATGGAGCTTTGATCAAATGGAACTTACTTTCATCAAGCCAATCACAGTGCCACGACTTGTGGGGAAATTCGTCACAGATGTCACGACCACGGCGGTGTTGGAATACGTCTGCGAATTCGCAGCGACGAGCATGAAGGCGCACATCTGCCAGAGCTGGACGCCCCGGATCCTGTGCGTTCCAGCGAGCCAGATCATGAAATAGCCCAGAAAACCTTGGCCCGCCCCCAGCGCCAGGATAATCCACGGCGGCAGCGCCAGCGAGAGCAGCAATCCTGTGTGAATCCCCACATTGGCGCCGATCCCCTTGAAGAACCCTAGCGTGTCGAGCTGCGATTGATCGAATCCCAGCTCGCGCTTGAGGCTCTCCGAGTACAATCCAAAGACGTAGGTGGATCCCATCGTGATCTGGATCCAAATGCCCGCCACTAGCATCAGCCAGCGGCTCCTCAGCAGATCCACCATCGCTTGGATCAAACCCTAGCTCCTGGCGCCAGTAGAGACAGTTTGAAAATAAAGTTTATTTGCTTTTCGGGAGATCTCCCAAGGTCTTGTAGAACTGGCCATCGTAGAAGACTGGCATTTGCGAGAATCCCACGTCCTTGCGATCCATGAAGAATCTCCCGTGAGGAAGTGGTTCTTCCGGAGTTCCCGGAGGAAGCAAAGCGATCCACACCGCGGTGTCGGCTCCAATCTCGACCGAGTGACCCTTGAATCCCGACATGGCCGTGCTGGTCGAGCCGGGACACATCGAGTTGAAGAAGATCTCCTTCTCCCTCGCGAGCTTCTCCGCGATGATCCTCGCGTAGGCGTTGAGAGCGATCTTGGAGAGGGAGTAGCCGGCGAGTATCTCTGGTGGCGCTAGCGGGATCTCCTCGCCCATGCACGGCCAGCCGCGGGCTTTGATCTCTTTGGCTTCCACTGCTCGGAAGAACTCCTGGATCATCTCGTCGATCGAGCTGGGCGTGAGAGTGGCGATATCTTCCAGCTTTGCATTCCATTCGTTCTTTAGATACTGCGGTGGAAAAATCATAAGAATCTCCAAGGTTTCTCATCGATATTCGCGAGGAACTTACTGAGAAATCACCAACTTTGGAGCTGACGTTAACGATTCGAGCTCCAGGTTTGAGAAGAGGGACCATAGCCTCGATCACTCTCTTCGTGCCGTAGTAATTCGTTTCCACCACGTACTTCGCTTGCTCCAAGTCCGGCACTCCAATTGAGTTCACGCCGGCATTGTTAATCTGGAAGAACACCAAGGAAGAAAACAAAGAACTATCTGCTGGACGGCTAGAGAAATAGTGAAATTCGAGCTCTAGCTCTCTACTCACAAGAATTTCGATGCGACCGTAGGAGCGAGAGACCCAATCCGCCAGCGCGTCGACCGAATCGGGGCTAGTGATGTCGAGCTGGTGATACACGAGCCTTTCTCGATCGATGCCCTCTTCCAGCAGCGATTCGATAGCCTTCCTGCCGCTGGATTCGTCTCTAGACGTGAGTATCGTCGTCAATCCTCGCCTGGCGAGCTCGCGCGCCAACTGCAAGCCAATACCCTTGTTCGCGCCGGTGACGAGCGCGATTGTGTCCTTGGACCACCACATTCTGGAAAGAAACACGAGAAGGATCCATCGATTGCTTGGAAACGATGGCGCGAGCTTGAGATTACCTCTCTGGATTGCCCGTCGACACCATAGCTGCCAGCGCTGAGTGGCGACAAAAACCTAAACGAAAGAACGTGTGGTCTAGTTTTGCGTTTCGATTCCCGCCAAACCCCAGATTTTAGGGCGAGGGTTTTCGATGGTGGAGCGCGAAGGCGGCAGCTAAGATCCGAGGTTTGTGCCGATCGAGGGCAACGATTTCGAGCGGAGCTTTGTGATCGGCGATGCGATGCAGTCTATGGAGGAAGGCGAGGCATCCGGCAAGGTTTCCATGGCCGCATTGTCGGCTACGTTCACCCGGCTTAAGAAGCAAGTGGCATTCGAGCGACAAGCTTATGTCAAGGTACTGTTTTCCTCCTCTTTGGAGATTTCTCAAGCGCTAGAGCTGATTTCTTCGCGGATTTTCTAGGCAAGGATGGATGCAAACTCGGAGAGATTGCAAGGATTTTGTACGCACTTACTGGCGCTGTCCAGCTCCCGCGCTGTGAATAACAGGAATCACGCCGACAACGATATGCTCAACACACGGATCCAAAAGGCGCTCAACAAGCTTGGGACTGATCCAGCAGCCGCGGATCAGCAGTGTGGCTCGCAAGATGACTCCTCGGCTCCTATTCTTTTCAACAATTCCGGTGGGAAGAGCATTGTGAAGCCCGTCAGGCTGCAAACCGTGCAAAAGACGCCGCCATATACAACTTGGATCTTCTTGGACAGGTAGAGAAACAAAGATGCGGGTGCTAGTTCACTGACCTTTTGTTTTCCAGGAATCAGCGGATGGCCGAAGATCAATCCGTCGTTGGTCGAAGAAGGATCTATTATGACTCTGCTGAAAATGAAGCGTTGATATGCAGTGACAGTGAGGAAGAACAAGTCGAGGAGGAAGAAGAGAAACGTGACTTTAGCAAAGGTGACGATTTTCTCATCAGGTTAGTAGTACTGATTCTAATTTTTTTTCTTTACTTATTGAATGCCTGTAGAGCCACTGTCCAAGAACATGGATTGAGTAAAATGATGTTTAAGGCGCTGGCTGACTGTCTTGATGCAAAGCCGAGCGAGATAGAGGTACGGGCCTTGCCTGATGGGCTGCTTGATTTTTTTAAGAGGAAAAACAGATAGGAAACGTGGATATGCATATTCATGTTATGCTCTTTACAGAATTATGAATCAAACTCAAACGTCTGCTACAGGCACGGTATGAAATACTAGCGAAGGACGGGGACAAACTCAAAAGCGAGGAAAAGCATGATCTTCTATCTGCAATGGACTCCTTCGATAATCTTTTCTGTCGACGTTGTTTGGTAAGCTGGGATGCTCTTTCTATTCTCATACTAAACTTCCCGCATTATTAAAGGTGTTCGACTGTCGGCTTCATGGTTGCTCGCAGCCGGTGATAATTCCTGTAAGCTTCTTACTTGTGCTTGATGAGCTACTGATTGAAATGGAAGCTTGCAGTTCGATAAGCAGACTCCACTTAACAAGACGGGGGAACTGCCGTCAGTACCATGCGGTCCCTGCTGTTTCCATTTGGTATGATATCCTATGACGCCATTTCATCATAGTTCTTACGCCGCCTTGGCAGCCACGCCTTTCAAGCCACCACGATGCCACTTCTTCAGGCGTAGAGTCCAAACCCGTTCCTGTAGAAAGCACAGCACCTGCTATTGAGAAGAGCTGGCAAGTTCCGGATTCCAAAGACAAGGGCGTCGCTACGGAACCAGTCGCCAAAACTGTGGACAAGCCTCCTGAGGCTCCTAAGAAGAGCTTCAAAGATAAAAGTGTGACCGCTCTCAGAAGGTTGCTACTAAAGAGGAAAGCGACGAGACATACAGACGATGACACAAATGAGGCGCGTAAGAAACACCATGTGGAAGGATCGCATGCTGAGGTGGGAGATGGCAGTGGCAATGCGACTCGCGGCGAGAATACTGGGGCCAGCATGTACTTGAAAAAACTGGTTAGCAAGAAGCTTTACGCTCAGAGAAAATGGAAAGGAAGCCAGATCACCACTGTGAAGCGGCCGCCACCTGTAATCAAGGAATCAGAGGATGTGATGCAGAGCATATCCAAGAACCTTACGCTATATGACAGTAACTGGAACACTTTGGAGAAGGACCTTTACGAAACAGGGCTGCAAATCTTTGGTAGAGACAGGTACGGAAAATCCTGCCTGTTTATCAGTTCACTGAAAGCTTTTGTGTGATTTTTATCAGCTGTCTTATTTCAAGGAATTTGCTAAGGGGAATGAAGAGCTGTGCCGAGGTTGGGGAATTCATGCAGCTTGAGGCAGCCGTGAACTGGAAGCTGAATGAAGAAACAAAGCTCCAACAGGATGGAAACACAGTCATTGAGGATGCGACGGTAAGGCTCCACAGTTTTTTGACTCCTCTTAAAACCATCTTTTGTAGGAGATTGACCGTTCGCGGTCCAGGTTGTACAACGGACGCAGGAGGGGACGTGTACGTAGGCTAAAGTACACATGGAAATCCGTGGGCTATCCAGCTATCAGGAAAAGACTCGTGGATGGGAAGGATGGCTGTAGACAATACACACCCTGCTCTTGCTCGGAGTCGTGCGGAAAGCAGTGTTCTTGCCATCGAAATGGGACGTGCTGCGAGAAATATTGCGGGTACGTGTTATGCTACATTTGCTTAAAGCGACGTTTTTGTCTTATCAGGTGCTCCAAGAACTGCAAAAACCGCTTCAGGGGCTGCCATTGCGCTAAAAGCCAGTGTTCCAGTCGGCAATGCCCGTGTTTTGCAGCTGGACGGGAATGTGATCCTGATGTCTGTAGAAATTGCTGGATTGGGTATGCAACGGTGTACAATTGCAAAGCTCGTGTGCTGATGTGATTTTCCTCTTTTGTGCCTTTGTTTCAGGTGCGGGGATGGATCGCAAGGCGGACCACCGGCACGGGGTGACAGCTACGAATGTCGAAACATGAAACTTCTTCTAAAGCAACAACAGCGGGTAAAATCTCTTCTTTCAAACATTCCTTTAGCTTTTCTTAAACAAACTTGTGCAGGTTTTACTTGGAAGATCTGATGTCGCTGGCTGGGGTGCATTTTTAAAGGTAATAGTATGTTGCTCTTACAGAAAGAAGTAGCTATTAGCTTCCTTGTCTTCTAGACGCCGGTAAATAAGCATGACTACCTTGGAGAATACACGGGAGAGCTTATATCACATCGTGAAGCTGACAAGCGTGGCAAGATTTACGACCGCGAGAACTCGTCCTTCTTATTTAATTTGAATGATCAGGTATGGTTTGGTTGATCTGAATTTACATGGTTTCCTTTTTCTACCTGTTCTTTCTCTAGTACGTACTGGATGCCTGCCGCAAGGGTGACAAGCTCAAATTTGCAAATCACTCGCCAAATCCAAACTGCTATGCAAAGGTGAGGTGTTCTCCATAAAGCTGCTGGAAACTCAACATGAATGTGTAGGTGATAATGGTTGCTGGGGATCACAGAGTTGGCATATTTGCAAAGGAACGTATATCAGCCGGTGAGGAACTGTTCTACGACTACAGGTACGAAGCCGATAGAGCTCCTCCGTGGGCTAGAAAACCCGAAGACGGCCAGAAGAATGACGAAGCCGCAAGTGGATCCGGTCGGGCTCAGAAGACAGCCTGAAGCAGGCTGCTAGGTGACAGTTTTGGAGAGTTCTGCTTGGAGTAAACTACGTCCTGAAGTTCAGGAATGAGATTTGATTCATTTGTGAGCAACATAGTGCTAGACGAAGAGCTTCGATCAAGAGAGTCATGAACGTCGAGATCCTGTAAGTCACCATGTTTGGCTTGTACTCTTTAACTCCCTTCTACAGCCAAATGCTTCGAACTCCCATCTTCATTTGTTCCGGAATCGTTGGAAATCTTCATGCCTCGGTGGTGATTTCCTTGCAAGCCTAGGAACTATGAAATGTCTTGAAGTTGGATAATGTGCGCTTTATTTTAAATTTGTTCCGACAATCCAAACAAATTTGAATGATTATAATTTTTGCAAAATTCCAGAAATGGAGAGCTTAATAGTAACGTTATGATAATTTTACTGGGCAATTATCGTGATTTTTTGTAAAACCATCTATTGATGGAACTGTTTGTAACTGCAAAGTGCACAAGAAACGGTGGAACAAAAAGCATGGTTTTTAAAAGTATGAATGCTGATAAATTCAATTAATAAAACTTATTTGAAAATTAGTTTTATCTAATGTTGTGCTAACTAGCTTGTATTTATAATTATACTTTTTGCTATGATGGATCGTGTAATGTGATCAATTAACAATATTGATTATATTTTTATTCAATAATAATTTTTGTTCTTTGGATTAAAAATTATTTGCCATGGGTTGCATGTGGTTTGCTTAATAGTCAAAATAAAATTTTATAATTATAAACATGTTTATAATTTATAAACACAAGATTAATCTTATTGCATATCAACCATTAGATGGTAGAATAAAAACTAATATACTAAAAAGTGCTTAAGAAAGCTTATAAATTATAAACATATTTATAAATTAAATACAAGATTAATCAAAATAAATGATGGTAGAATATCCAAGCATATTCTAGGTATATTCACTACCGGTTTGCTTAAGCAAACCAATTATAAAACTTTATTTACTATGTGCTATTTTAAAGTTTTATTATATTCCTTTTCTGTCTGAATATGTATTTAGGAAATTATCCATTTATTAAAAACATACTACTTGTTTGTTAGTGACATTACGTGAAAATGCATGTTATTTTGTAGGCACCAATCAAATTAATCTAATGCTTTGTGATCCTTTTTATAAAGTCATTTTCTTTGTAATAATCAAATGTGCATATTTATTATCAAAATATATTGAAAAATAACCAGCTGTTTCTTGATTAAAATGTAAAACAAGCTTACTCTAAAATGCAATTTGTGGCATGACAGAATTTTTATGGATAATTTACTCTGTCACAGAGAGAGAGAGAGAGAGAGCTAGCTTTTCTTGAGAAGATCTTGAGCTCTTCGCCAGTCAAATGTGAAAAACAAACAGGAGACGGCAATAAGTGGCGGCTGCCGTCAGTCAGATTTCGTATCCTTATGACCGTAGGCGTACACGTATGTGTAAGGTGGCTGGATTTAGCTCCAAGATCTTGAAGCTTCCATAAGAAAGATACATTTCGTACATTATAAATGGTGGTAAAGTGTGATGCTCTGGTTCCAAGATCGAGTGATATAGTTTATGGTTTCCAAGATCCAAGGGATTATATTGGATTTTTTGAGAGTTTGATGTGGAGGCCGTTGGCCGGAGCTGCGAGTGGAGCCATTTGGATGTGCTCGTTTGGATCGAGGAGCGACCACTGCAACTGGGTGAGTAGATGATGCAAGAACACGCGGAGGAGCATCTTTGCGAGCTCATTCCCGGGGCAAATGCGAGGGCCTCCACCAAATGGAACGTACGTGTATGGGATCAAGCCCGAGCTCCCGTTGAATCGCTCCGGATCAAACTTGTCCGGCTCAGGGAAGAACGCGCTCCTCCTGTTGCTCTGGAAGACGCTCCACA